AAACACAAACCCTAAAACCAACCTGAACCCTAAACACAAACCCTAAAGCCAACCTGAACCCTAAGCACAAACCCTAAACGCAAACCCTAAATGCAACCTGAACTCTAAACACAAGCCCTAAACACAAACCCTAAAACCAACCTGAACCCTAAACACAAATCCTAAAACTAACCTGAACCCTAAACACAAACCCTAAACACAAACCTAAACCCAACCATTATTTACAAACCCCCAACCCTAAAGTAAACCCTGAGCGAAAGAGCTTTTTCTGTGATATTGCCTCACACAATCATGCAACTGTTTCGGTGCTGAGACAGGCCAATCAGCCCATCAAGTCTGTGCCAGCTCCCTGAGCTATTTTACTCATTGTTAATCTCCTGCCCTGTTCCCCCGTATTCCTGCACACTAATTCCATCCACATACCCAACCTATGCCCCCCCGGAATGCATCTATTTAACCTGACCCCACCAGCTGCCATATTTCAGGGTCATGCATTCCAGATTTAACCAGTCTCTGACAGAATATCTTCTCACATCACCATTACTTCTTTAGCAAAACATCTTAAATCTACAGCCTTCTACAGCAGGAACAGTTTCTCCCACTCTAAAACAGGGAGGTTATGCTGCAGCTGTACAAGGTGCTGGTGAGGCCACACCTGGAGGACTGTGTACAGTTCAGGTCTCCTTACTTGAGAAAGGATGTTACTGGCACTGGGAGGGGGTGCATGGGAGGTTCACCAGGTTGGTTCCGGAGTTGAGAGGGTTGGCTTACGAGGAGAGGTGGAGTAGACTGGGACTGTATTCATTGGAATTTAGAAGAATAAGGGGGGATCTTATAGAAACATCTAAAATTATGAAGGGAATAAATAAGCTAGAAGCAGGGAGGTTGTTTCCACTGGCGGGTGAAACTAGAGCTGGGGGTGTGGTGGTACAGCCTCAAAATAATGGGGGAGCAGATTTAGGACTGAGTTGAGGAGGAACGTCTTCACCCAAAGGGTTGTGAATCTGTGGAATTCCCTGCCCAGTGAAGCAGCTGAGGCTTCCTCATTGAATGTTTTTAAGGCAGAGATAGATAGATTTTTGAACAGTGAAGGAGTTAAGGGTTATGGTGAGTGGGATGGTAAGTGGAGCTGAGTCCATGAAAAGATCAGCCAGGATCTTATTGAATGGCAGAGCAGGCTCGAGGGGCCGAATAGCCTGCTCCTGTTCCCGTTTCTTTATGTTTTTATAATAAATCAAATCAAAATTTCTCTCATCTGATTTGCCTGTAACTGATCTAATGACCCTGAGGTATCTAGCTCCTCAGATCCCTGCCAGTGTGAGTGGTCCTTACACAGACCATAACAACTAGACCCTGCCCCTCCCAGCTCCTCTCCAGTTCCCAAGCCGAGATTCCGAAACATGGGAATCGTCTAGCGATTGCTGTATCCAATTTGACAGGCTGGGTACATTTCCCTTCACACTGGCTTCTTTGCTGCTCAACCTGAAGCTAGCAGTCTATCTGACTATCTCACACCCATCAATGTGCAGATGACTGAATGCTCAGGAACAGGTTAAAACCAGGCTCTGTTTTACAGTGAACCAGCAGTTCACACACTGATTGCTGGAAAAGATCCAATCGCAAATCTGATCTAACGAGAGAAAGGAAGGCAGGAGAGATGGAGGGAGGAAGGGGTGCTCTATGTTAGCTGCGAGAGGTTTGTGTTTAGGGCAGAGACTAATCCCACGTATAAAAGCAAGGCCTTAACAGAGATAATGGTGCACAGGGAAATGGTCCCACAAGTGTTCGCTCGCCTGGAATAAACTGAATAGTTTGGGTTCAGGGACAGACCAATGTTTAATGTCAATGGGCTCACAGCAGTGAGCTAGGCCTCATGGGAAGCAGTTGGCAACCGGCCTACAACCCTTCCGTCCACTAATAATTTCATCAAGGCTGACTCAGAGCATTGACAGCAGGCCAGAGCTCCCAGAAATCTCAGCTCTCTCCTCCACCGCTCCCCTCTCTCTCCCTCATTCGTCTGTCTCGCTCTCTCTCTCCCTTGTCCGTCTCTCCCTCTCTCTCTTTCTCGTCCATCTCTCTCTCTCTCCCCCTCATCTGTCTCTCTCTCTCTCTCTCTCTCTCACTCATCCGTCTCTCTCCCTCTCTCTCTCTCGTCCAGCTCTCTCTCTCTCTCTCCCTTTCTCCCTCTTTCTCACAGTCACACAGCATGGAAACAGACCCTTCGGTTCAAATCATCCATGCCAACCATGTTTCCTAAACTGACCTTCTCCCATTTTCCAGCATTTGGCCCAGATCCCTCTAAACCCTTCCTATCCATGTCCCCATCCAGATGCCTTTTAAATGTTTTAATTGTACCAGCCTCCACCACTTCCTCTGGCAGCTCGTTCCATACACGCACCACCCTCTGTGTGGAAAAAGTTGCCCTTCAGCAGGGCAGGCTCGATGGACTGAATGGCCTCATCCTGTTCCTGTGTCAGTGAACAGTTCCTCACTCAGAGGGGAGGGTGAATCCAGAATTCTGACTCCCCCTCCCCGTAGACAGCAGGAGTGGCTCCTATTTCGAACTGAGATTGATGGATTTACAATGAACGCAGGGACGGAGGGAGACAGAGTGCAGAGAGCACACAATAGAGGAAAGAGATGGGGTTTCTATCCTATGTCAGAAATTCCCAAACAATAAAGATGTGGAGGGGGAGAGAGAGAAGGGGGAGGAAGGTGGGGGAAGGGAGGGAGAGAGAGAAGGGGACAGCGGAGGAAGGGAGGATTTGAGAGAAGAGGGAGGGAGGAAAAGGGAGAGAGAGAAGGGGGAGGGAGGGGTAGAATGAGAGAGAGAGATGAGGGAGGGAGAGAGAGAAGGGGAAGAAGGGGGCAGGAGGGAGAGAAGGGGTGAAAAGAGAGAGAGAGAGAAGGGGCAGTGAGGGACAGACTGAGAGAAACAGAGGTAAGGGAGTTTAAGAGAAAGCAGTAGGTGAGAGCCACAGGGAGGGGACTGCACAAAGGGAGGAAGACAGATGGAGAGGGCAGAGGAGATCATTGTGAGGGCTTGGGAGAATAGGCCAGGATAGGAGAAGATGGAGAGGAGGAGTGTTGGTAGAGGGAATTAATTTCCTATGTGCAGTCAGTCCATTGGTTTGGGGAATGTGTGATTTTGACCGTTAATCTTTCTCGGCAGTAGGTTAACTTGTCTCTAACCTCACACCTGAGCCTGTGGGTTTCAGATGGGCCTGGGAGGTCGGGCCCCTGAGGCTGGCCTACAAAGCTGGTCAAACCCAGCTAGAAGTGTTACTCATGTGAGGCTCTCCCAATGAGGTGATACCTGGGAGATTGGTACCTTCATCGACAGGGGACCCAGAGGCCAGTGTGAGCCTCAGAGAGAGAGGGAGGGAGAGGGAGACAGGGAGGGAGAGAGAGAGAGGGAGAGAGAGAGAGAGAGAGAGAGAGAGGGAGAGGGAGAGAAGGAGGGAGAGGGAGAGGAGAGGGAGGAAGGGGGAGAGAGAGAGAGAATGTGTATGTGTGTGTTGGGGTGACTGTGGAGAGAGAGCCAGAGTGAGTGAGGGGGCGGAAAGAGAGAGAGAGAGGGAGGCAGTGTGTATGTGTGTGTGAGAGGGGGGTGGTGCAGAGAGAGAGTGCTCCCTCTCTCCCCCCACCACCCACTCGGTCTCTCTCTCCACACCCCCTCCCTCTCACACACACATACACACTCTCTCTCCCTCTGCCCCCGACCACACTCAGTCTCTCTCTCCAAAAATTGAAAGGGTTCAGAAAAGGTTTACGAGGATGTTGCCAGGGTTGGAGGGTTTGAGCTACAGGGAGAGGCTGGATAGCCTGTGGCTATTTTCCCTGGAGCGTCGGAGGCTGAGGGATGACCTTATAGAGGTTTATAAAATCATGAGGGGCATGGATACGGTGAATAGACAAAGTCTTTTCCCCAGGGTAGGGGGGTCCAAAACTAGAGGGGCATTGGTTTAAGATGAGAGGGGAAAGGTTTAAAAGGGACCTATAAAGGGCAACTTTTTCACACAGAGGGTGTTATGTATATAGAACGAGCTGCCAGAGGAAGTGGTGGAGGCTGGTACAATTACAACATTTATAAGGCATCTGGATGGGTATATGAATAGGAAGGGTTTAGAGGGATATGGACCAAATGCTGGCAAATGGGACTAGATTAATGTAGGATATATGGGTTAGCATGGATGGGTTGGGCCGAAGGGTCTGTTTCCATGCCGTACAGCTCTATGATGATGGCTGACTGAACAGTTTTAATGCCTATTCCCCACCCCATCTCCATGACCCTGAACACCAATAGTCATCAGACCTTAGATATACACAAAGAGTGAGCTCCCACAGCTCTCTGTGGGAGAGAATTCCCAAGATTCACAATCCTCAGTAAAAAGGTTTCTCCTCATCTCGGACCTTCGTGACATCCCTTTATTTTTAGGTGGTGCTGCCTGGTTCTGGGCTGTCTGACCCGGGGAAACAGCTGACCTGTCCATCCCTTTAATTATTTTGTCGGTTTCAATGAGACCACTTCTCATTTTGTGAAACTCTGGAGAACACTGGGCCAGTTTGTCCGATCTCGTTCCATGGGACAGTCCCACCATCCCGGGGTCAAGGCTCGGGAACCTTCAATGCCTCCCTCCCTCTGCGACGATAATATCTCTCCTGAGAGAAGGAGAACAAAACTACACACAGTACCGTGAGGTACAAACGCCTCGATTCAATCTTCCCTTAACCCCCCTCCCCACTGCTCTGGGGGAGCACTATCCCAGACTCTCCACATTCACTGGGAGTGGGGAGACTATGCGAGTAAATGTCCCTCCACACCCCCTCCAGCGGCGCCAATGTCATTTCTATGTTGGAGGGGAGGGTCACAATCGGACACAGTGCTCCCACCCAGGAGAGATCGAACAGACCCTGTCTGTTTTCCAAGCTCGGATTTTACCTGAGACCCTCAGTCTAAGGAGACATCAATAGGATGGAAGGGGGTGTGGGATTGGGGTCGGGGTGGGGGGTGTGGGATTGGGGGTGTAGGATTGGGAGCGGGGGGATGTGGGATTGGGGGCGGGTGATTGGGATTGGGGGTGTGGGATTGGGGCGGGTGGTGTGGGATTGGGGGCAGGGTGTTATGGGATTGGGAGTGTGAGTGGGGGATGTGGGATTGGGAGAGTGGGATTGGGCGTGTGGGATTGGGTGTGTGGGATTGGGGTGTGGGATTGGGGGAAGGGGTGATGTGGGATTGGGGTGTGGGACTGGGGGAAGGGGGGGTGTGGGATTGGGAGCAGGGGTGTGTGGGATTGGGCGTGTGGGATGGGGGGATGGGGGGGTGGGGGAATGGGGGGTGGGGGCATGGGCGGGGTGGGATAGGGCTCACGGTGGGGATGGGATGGGGGTCTCGTACCTGACGAGTTTCCGTGTTCCAGTCGGACAGTGGATTCCAGGCCAGGATCCTGACCGGAGTCCGGATGGTCACCTTCCTGGCTCGGCTCCTTCAGCTGTGGAGGGGCATTCGGATCTAAACCGGAGAGAGGGAGCAAGGGAAAGAGGCAGAGAGAGATAGAGAGAGAGAGATGGAGACAGGGAGAGAGGGAGGGAGAGGGAGAGATATAGGGAGGAAGAGAGTGAGGGAGAGATAGAGGGAGGGAGAGAGAGGGAGAGAGATGGGAGAAAGAGAGCGAAGGAGAGAGAGAGAGAGGGAGAGAGAGGAGAGAAAGAGGGAGAGAGAGCAAAGGGGAGTGAGAGGGAGACCGAGAGAGGGGGAGACAAAGGGGGAGAGAGAGATAGAGGGAGAGAGACAGAGGGAGGGAGAGAGAGGGAGGGAGAGAGAGAGAGGAGGAGAGAGAGAGAGGGAGAGGGAGACGGAGAGAGATGAGGGAGAGAGGGAGGGAGAGAGGGAGGGAGAGAGACAGAGGGAGAGGGAGAGAGAGTGAAGGAGAGAGAGAGAGGGGCGAGAGAGACAGAGAGGGACGGAGAGAGAGGGGGAGAGACAGGGATAGAGGGAGAAAGAGAGGGAGAGAGAGACCGAGCAAGGGAAAGAGAGAGGGAGAGAGAGAGAGAGAGGAGAGTGTGAGGGAGAGAGAGGGGGAGAAAGAGAGAAGTCACAAATGGAGGGGCTGCCACAGAGATAGACAGCAAGAGCGCGATGTGCTGAGGTCTGGGTTTATTTACTTTGTCATGTCCCTGTCCCTGGATCGAGGAGGAGTTTATTCACAACACAAACCTTGCATCTGTCCCTCTGACAGAGTGAATCAAACTAACCCCCAGTCAGTGACACACACACACACACACACACACACACAGGAACAACCAACACAGTGTCTCTC